TAGTCACATGCTCAGTTTGTCACTGGAGTTCTTAGGGTCAAAATCTAAGCCCAGATTCCCTAACAAGCTAGGCTAAAGCATCTGTCCTCAACAGGCCAATGAAGGAGATGGGCAACGGTGCAAAGCAGGGAAAGGAGATCAACGCTATGTGGCTACTAGAAAGAGGAACAAAGAGGTCCAGTTCATGTGGCAGGGTTTTCCAAAGGAACAGAACCTACAGTTATAATGGGGTTTATTTAATGAGTTTACACAATAGAGCCGAAGTAATCCAAAGCTTATTGTCTACACAGTGAAAACACTGAGAACCTAGTCGCTGCTCAGTCCTCGAGGCTAGCAGCTCGACAGACCCAATCTGACCCTGAAAGCCTCTGAAATCCCTGAAGAATCTCTGGACGTCAGGGAAGGTGCTGGCAGCAGCAACAGAAAAGAGATGAGCACACTCAAGCAAGCGCCACTGTCTTTTCCTTGGACCTCTTTACTTCTGGGCTGCTGTGGGAAGTGCTGGGTGGAAAGTACCACCCGGTGTGGAGAAGAGTCTTCTCCCCTCAGTTAATTCTTCCTGGAAATGTTCTCACAGATCTGTTCAGAGGTGTCTTTCAGTTGATTTCAGATCCAAGCAAACTGACAATCAAGATTAACCATCCTGGACTGGAGACATGGCTCAGCAGGTAAGAGCACTGGCAGCTTTTCCAGAGGACCCAGGTTCAATTCTCGACAACCACATGATGATTTACAACCATCTGCAGCTCTAGTTCCAGGGGATCTTCTGGCCTCTGCATGTACCAAGCACACATGTGGTGTACCTACATACATGCAGGATAAGCACTTATACATATAAAATAAAAATAAATATTTAAATACTAATCATATTATCCACTGACCCCTTATATACATCTTAGGTACTGATATAAGGTCAGAGTTTGGGGGTGCAATTCAATTATTATTTAGGTATTTTAGAGACAGTCTTACTATGTAGACCTGGCTGGGTTACTGTGTAAGCATGAGGACCTAAGAGTGATGCTGGCATTGTAGTGGCACTCACTTGCAATTCCAGGACCAGAGAGGGGTGGGACAGAATAGCCCCAGCCTACCTGAGGTCAATGCATTCCAAGTTCATTGTTCATTGAGAAACCTATCTCAAAATATAAGGTGGGGCATATTGAAGAAGACACTTAATGTTGACCTCTGGCTGTATATGAACATGCATCTGCACTCACATACAAAAGAATAAAAAATATTCCTAAAAAAACCAAACAACAACAACAAAATCCCAGTTAACTGTTAGTTGTTAACAGTTCTTGAAGGGATCCTAGCCCCACTCTGAGCATGTGGCTCTGGCAGGCCTTGCCCTTCTCCCCAATTCCCTCAGCCTTGCTAAAAACTGTTGGATTACTTTCCTGTACTAGCCCCCAAGATCTGTTCCCTTATTTGGCCACTTCCTCCTCCTGAGGCTGACTACCAAGGTCCAGCTATTAGTACTGAAGTCCAGCAATCAATAGGCCCCTTTGGCTCACCTAAGTAACACGCTTAGTTAAAATTAAATACCCATCCTAACACAGGGTTTCCCCTTGTACCTTTACAAACTGTCATTTTCCGACATGCCACATCTTTCTCCTCTCTACCCAGAGGCAGTCTTTTGTCCTCAGGGACAAATACCACTGCCCCCTTTCCCTTGTTCCCTTCTCCTTCTCTCTAGTCCTGTCTTTGTCCCTTATCCCTGCCCTCTGACCCTCTGGGGCAAATAAATCTCCTTGTTCTGGGAACTTGGTCTTGGAGGTCTGGAGCCAATACTTCTCCTTTCAGAATGCAGGAAACTGACAGTTAACCGTTGAATTTGGATCCAAAGAAAAACTGGTTATTTGAGGATTTCACTTTAACCAGAACTAACTAACATGTTAACTAATTGAAATGTTAATTACCAGCTTCCTTCCTGATGGAATGATTTGTGTCTGGTGCTGCTAAACATTAATGTGGAAAGTGGCAAATGTCTGCCACATTAAAATGTTAACCCTGGAAACTAAGACTAAAAATTCCTATTAGATAATTGCTATGCTTTTTTATGGTTATAAAATTATAATAGGTATGTCCTCAACATCTTTGTTTCTCTGTGTTCTCTGTGTTTGGATTCAATAAAACTCAAATGGCCCAGAAGAGCCCCAGAAGATTACAACTCACTTCAGCCTTTCTTGTCATATGGCAATAGCCCAAATAACAGAACTCTAACATCATAAAAGCCCTGTTGAGGTTTGAATGTGAAAATTTTCCCATAGGCTCAAATGTTTATCACTTGGTGTTGAAGGCGTGTGAAAACTTTAGGAAGGAAACCTTGCTGAAGGAAGTTGGTCAGTAGGGGTTGGCCTTGAGAGTGTATATCCTAGCCCCATTTCCTGTCATCTATCTGCCTCATAACTGTGGATACAATGTGACTAGTTACTTCATATCCCTTCTTAAACTGTGAGCCCCAATCCATTATATTTCTTCTTGTCATGTATATGATTGTAACAGCTAGAAAAGTAACAAATACCATCCCATATGGTTCAACAGAACCTAAACAGCTCAAAAGAGCCTCCAAACCAAGAGGAATACAAACTTGGAGGTCCACTAACTGGGGAGAGATTAACAAAGGTCAGACATCATCAAGAGTCCAAAACAGGAGCTGGAGAGACAGCTCAGGGGTTAAAGCACTTGCTCTTGTAAAGGACCTGTGTAGCATGAATCTCCTTAGCAAGCCTCCTAGGCCGGCCTCAAACTCCGGATCCTCCTGCCTCTGCCTCCTTCAGCAAATCCTACCAGCATGCATCACCACAACCGGCAACGTGTAGCTCGGGTCTGAGCTGGGGCCCGCAAGGCCATAGGCAAGTAGCTTTTCTCGAGAATTCGTACCACGAACGTTGGGCACCAGATGTAGCATGAATTGTTAGGAGGTCTTATTAATAAAAACAAACCTGAGCCAGGTATTGGGATGAATAAACCCAAACAACAACTCTGTCAGAGGCAGCCTGACTAGTGTGGCCATCTTTAAAGTAGCTTCACAGTGTTCAGTTATTCTGAAATAAAATATGTGGAGGTGGCGTTGAGGAAAGGTTCTGAAGGCTTTCCTGCCTCCTTGCCTGCTATACCTAATTGTTCTTGTACGTTTCTTCAACATTAAAGTGACACAAGTGATAAACTGGAAATCCCTTGACACAATGTTTGTTACCAGTGCTATCTGACCTCATTTTGAGAGCATGGCTTGCACCTGGAGCTCAGCATGCAATGTCAGTCTTATTTGCTGTAACTAACCCAATAGCAGATCGGTGGAAAGCTGTTACTCCATTTAAGATGCTCCAGGTGAACTGTCCTACTGTTCAACTCAGCTCACACGATTATAAACACCAGAGAATACCATTCAGCTTCTAGTCCCCACTGGAGAGCAGCTTGCCCAGCCCAGAGTTCTTGTCACTGATGCTGCTGTACTCGGGTCATGCATGAGCCCACAGGTTCTGAGGCACCGGATACCTGCAGCTCTGTTACAAATGAAGACTATCTCCGGGTCGGGGTTCACAGGCAGCCCTGACCGTGCTGGGGAGTGAATTAAAAGTGCCCACTGGATACAAGGAAAATGGTAGCAGAGAGATCACACCACCACTCCTCGAACTGGAAAGATGTCACTATGAGTAGGAACCAGAAAGCCAACACACACACACACACACACACACACACACACACACACACACACACACCAAACAAACAAACAAAAAACCCAAACCCAAAACAGATGGAAACTTTTGTCTGTGTTGTTATTTTGTTGTTGTTGTTTATTTGCTTTTTTTTTTTTTTTTTTTTTGGAGACAAGGTCTCCTTAGTACAGGCTGGTCGTGAACTTGTAACTCTCCTGTTTCAGCTTCCTAGTATACCTGGGATAACAGACTAGCACCATCATATGCAGTTTCTGATCTATTTGAAAAGGGCCATTGCAGGACACTAGGAATTAAAGCAAAGGGCTTGGGAAGGGGCCTTGGGGAGGTCGAAATCACAGATGGGCTGGCAGCAGCACAAACCACAGCAGCCTGGAAACAGACCGTTCACCTACACTAACCAACAGCTCCCTTCTCCAGCTTCGCCAGCTACAGCACTGGTTCCAAGACTTTCCACCTTCTAAGGGAGGTCCTTGGCCTTGTAGCATTTAGTTTTAATTAACTATTTTGGACCTATAGATCCTCTTCACAGTTTCCCTCAGTGATGACATCTGGCAAGGGTCTTACCATGGAGTGTCATGGATAGGACAGCAAAGAATGCGCCCCTCAACACAAAGATTGTTTTTTTTTTTTTTTTTTTTTTTTTTTTTTTTTTTTTTTTTTTTTTTTTAAAGATTTATTTATTTATTATATTCACAGAAGAGGGCGCCAGATCTCATTACAGATGGTTGTGAACCACCATGTGGGTGCTGGGAATTGAACTCAAGACCTCTGGAAGAACAGTCGGTGCTCTTAACCTCTGAGCCATCTCTCCAGCCCCACAAAGATTGTTTTTATAGTCGCAGCCATTTCCCCTCCTAAATCTTGGCAACCACTATTCTGATTCTCCATTCTTGTAATTTGCTCTTTCAGGAATCATGAAGTAAATAACTTTGGGGGACTGGCCGCTCTTACTCTGGGAAATTCCTTGCGGACTGGAGCTGGGTGTATTCAAGGCCCATTCCTTTTTTGATTGCCTAGTACTACGCTGTGGGCGTTTTGTTCTGTTTACCCGGATACGTGCAGTGGCTGTGTGTGATAAAGTACAAGGCAGGAGGGCGCCTCTACCCTTCTCCCGGTACAGGCTTCTTGCCAGTCTCCCTCAGCAAGGAGCCAAACCCGTCCTGCCCACGACCACTGGAGCCCAGCCAGCGCGGGGGCGGTAACAGGACAGGGAGACTTGGGGAGGGAAGACTGAAGTCCGGCGATCCCGCACTGACAGGCCCCAGTTGTGGGTGGGCTATTGCTCACAGGCCGCCAGAGGACAGTGTGAGGGCGGGGCGAGGGGCGGAGCCCAACGGGGGAAGCATCCCTGGGTCCCAGTGCGCAGCCGTGGTGTCTGCAGGCAAGCTTTAGGCATTCAAGCCCAGGAATCTGGCGGTGTCACAGTGTGCAGTGCTCCCTGCTGAAGGCCGAGGTGAGAGTCAGTTCACTGCTTCCCCTGGGGCGTGCACGTCCTTCCTGCAAGCGACCTTGGGGATTGGGGGAATGCCGGACGGAAGAGGCCCCTTCTGGGTTTTAGCTGGCGAATTAGCTGGCGAATTAGACCGTGGACCGGTGTCCCGGAGGTTCCTCGCACCTTGAGCCTTTCTTAAAATTTCAGCCCACGTTACCACATTAGGCCCAGGTCCTGCTTAATACAAACGGTTGCTTTTTGTCAGCCCACTTGTTAGAGAGCAGTTACGGGTCTCTGCATATTTATTACCAAAGGGTAAAAGTCAAAGAGGAGCCCAGAGCCGAGTTTCTACACCGGTGCCTTCCCTTACCCTGGTGCCTTCAAGCAGCTTCGGTACACTCTGCCTTCAAGGACTGGCTCAAAAGAAATATCAGCTTCTGTAACTATTAATGTGAAATTATTGGTTTCAGCAACCTCTCATCTCTGGAAATCTCAGTCAGAGAGATATAGAAAAATGAACTTGTGTGAAATCATAGAAACCTCTAGTAGAGTGATGCCGCGGACTGGGTCTCAGTAGGAACACCAGACCGAGGGAGAACAGGTTGAAGGTACTCAGGATAAGTGAGATTCGACGAATGACAGACAGACACAGACACGAGAGTATGCTGTGAAACTGCTGCAATTTTACTCAGATCAAGCAGTGTTTTTTATACAATCTTTTGAGGAAACATGGCAATCGGCCAGTGGGGCGATAGACATAGAATTAACAATGTGGTCACACAATTTTCTCAGAATGATTAACAGAACTCATGAGTACAGGTGTTAGTTCCTCTTTTGTGGTCCCTCATCCAGACAGAGAACATTACGGCCCTAGCTGAAGTTTTCCTTCTACATAATTATTAGACCTTTGTTTTGTATCAAAATTAAACCCTTCCCACCATCGTTCTAACCATGGTTTCATTTGTGTGAAAATATTTAACCTTTGCCTGCAGGTGAGAAGGCACCAAGGGGGTTGGGACCTAGCTATTCTTTCCATGAACTGTAACTTATGCCATTCTGTTTTCATACTATTATGATTCACCCATCGGTTCCCATGTTTATCATAAGCTCCCGTAAAGGGCAATGGCTCCAAATAATTATTATATCTAGGATTAAAGTTAGGGGGTTGCCACCACCGACCCTTGATGAGAAACTCTATTTGTCCCTTGATAATTCTTGTAGGACTGGCTAGTTCCTGTAACTGCTTCCCTGTAGCTGTTGTTGGCTGCGCGTGTGGATTGCTTATGAGTTCCTGGACTTTTACTTTCATTCTCTCCTCGCTAGAATCTTCATCCCTCTGAGTCATAAGTTCTTTTTGCTCTAAATCATTCATAAATTCCCCCAAACTTCTAGGACCCTTTTTAACTGTTTGCCTAAAAGCTTGAATTATAGGTGGGGGTATTGAGGCCACTTTTGAGGAATCATTATTCTCTTTATGGGGCACATCAGGAACATTGAGAGCTAACTCCCTGAAATCAATTACACAAGGAAACAGCAATAGTCACAGCTGCAAAGAGAAAAAAGCAGAGTGCCAGCCAGCCTCTGCAAGCAGATTTTGCGTGGTTCCGTGTAGCCTGGCACCATGGTTCGGGCAGATTGATAAGGGGTCGCCGGGGGCATAGACCCGAGGGCCGCGAGCCCCCCTTTCCCACGTATCCACCTCATCCAAGGCATTTGTCACGCGGGCGACACCGTCGTGGGCGTGGCAGAGTGAAATACAGATGGGGGGATGCGGGGGGGGGGGGGGGTGTTACCTAAGTGATCACAGAAAGCAGGCAGGCAATGATGTCGCTACAGGATGACATGTTAGCTGTTAAAATGACCAACATAGAGCCTGCCTGTGTAGAAGAAAGAGGCACAGTAAATGATACAATGAAAAATCAAAATAGCTGCTGGGTGTTAAGAAAATTATATTTACCTCTAAATATCAGAGCTCATTTCATGTGACTTGTTGGTTAACAACCACAGCCTCCCACCAAAAACAACAACAGCAGAAACAAAACAAAACACCTGGGTAACTTGCAGTTTCCACCAAAGGAGAGCTATTAATTCATCTCTGTGCCTGAGGGTGAAGAGCCTGTGTCCGGAGACTTTCTCTATGTTTCTTCCCATTTCTTACTCTAGGAGAGTAGGAGAATTGAGTAAGAGGAAATTCAACTCTGATGCACACACCCGCCCTCCATTTACTGTAAATGTGGAAACTGGGCTGACGGTACAGCTAGGGATGGTGAAGCAAGGGGATCTGCAGAGAGAGAATAGTGTGTCTGGGGTGCTGCAGTCCAAGTCTCAACTAAGGCGGCTCTGGTCCCTCACTTGGGCAATCTCAGGATGTATTTTGTTCATCTGCAGTGGCTTTGAGAACCTCTGAAAACGTGGATCAGGACATGGGGCTCTCTGCCTAAGGTCTTGGTTAATGTTAGGATAAAATCTTTACCCTGCCCTATTTACTTGGTTATTCCCCATCCAGCTCCCTGGCTGCATCCCCGACCACTCACTTCAAACCACAGCCCAACTAAATAACCTTTCTTGCTGTTTCTGGAACTCTCCAGGTCAGTTCTTACTGGGTCCTTACTTGATTGCCGGCCTGCCTGCCTGCCTGGACTTCTCTCTTGCTCCAGGTTTGTGCATGGCTGGCTCCATACCACCATTTATTCTGTCTCTGTTCTGACACACTTTCTGTAACGGAACAGACAGAGGAAATGTGGACTTGTGGTGTCCATGTCATGTTTAGTGACTCTGAGGTATGAGAAAGTCACCTGATTAGTGCTCTGCCAGAGATGAAGCTTTTGATCTGCTCTGTAAACATGCAGTGTGAACCCTGGGAGGAACTTTGACCTCCTTCTTTAACCCCTCTGCTAGTCTTATGGACCATCCTTTCCACAAGGCATTATAAAGAGGGGCACCCTTAGCACCCTCAGCTCACAAGAATTTAACTTGCTAATAGTACTCATCAGAAAAGAAAATACTTGGCACTGACTTCCCAGGAGGTCAAGGTCAATTCTGACTTGGAAAAGGTCAGACTGTACCCTGGGGAAGATGTCATCCAGCATGGAGCTTTCCACCCACTGACCCAGCATAACCCTTGGTACCTTCCAAAAGCCCTTAGCACCCAGCATGCGACCACTATCACCAAACGAAGGTTTAAGACAGAGAAATCACCTCCATTTTCCTCAAGGCTGTCCTTGAATAAATAAATCCATCCTCCCACCAGTCCTGTAGCATGTAATAAGAGCATGGTAACACTGATTGGTTTTCTATTGGATGTGGCAAACACCTTTCATCCCAGTAAAGTATTTCTTCAGGGTATCACTGCTGCCATCATCACCAGCAATTTCCACTGGTCGAGGATGATCTTGAACTCCTGATCCAGGATTACTGGCATATTCTACCATACCCCAAGCCCTGCTCAGATCCTACTTTTGATTCTTTTGAGCAGATAATCAGAAGTGAAACTAGAGAAGAACATAGTGATTTCCTGTTTAATTTTTAAGGAGCCTCTCAGTTGCCTTCCATAGAAGCTGCACCATTTTACACCTTACCAACACTGAAACAGTCTCTTTACCTGCCACCAAGTCTTGCTATTTGATTTTAGCCATAATATTTCCCTAATGACTAATATGCCCTTCCACATGCTTAAAGCTCATTTATATAACTTTGGGGTAAAGTCTGGTCAAGTCTTTACCCATTTCTGAGTTGGACTGTTTGGTTTTTCCCTTTTATCTGAGTGTTTTGTTTTTTCCTGTCAATATCAGGAAATATTGTATATTAGTTACTTTTCTGTCACTGTGACAAAACACCACGATCAAGGTGACTCGAAGAACAGAGGCCCATGGCTTCAGGGGATTAAGAGTCTAGGATGACAAGGGAACATGGCAGAAAGCAGCAGGCGTGATGACAGCAGCAGGGGCCTGAGAGTTCACATCTACAGTCACAAGCAGGACGCAAAGTGTGTGAACCAGGAGTGGGGCAGTGATCTAACCCAAAGCCTGCCCCAGTGTTTACTCCTCCAGCAGGGCTGCACCCCCAACCTCTCCAAACAGCATCACCAAATGCAAACCATCAAACCAAGACAGCCTCCCTCCAGAAAGTTGTTTTGGAGATGGCCAGCCAAGAGAGTGACGACACAAGCCTCCTTGTCTCTACAGCCCATTAGGGAGAACATTTTATCCAAAATCTTTTGCTGAAGAGGAGGGTGCTGGAGATTAAACTCCAGGCCTTGCACATGCTAAGCACATGTCCTACCACTGATCTCCACCCAAGGTCCCCCTAGAATCCTATTACATTATAGCCACCATCTATATGTGCCATCTTTCTTACTTTTCTGGGCCACCCTGTAACTCTAGATGGAAGACTGAAGCACCCAACTGGCCTTATTGATAGTTGAGAAAAAGGCCCAGTAATGCACAGTGACACCACCCCCTTGACTTCCCCAGTACCCTTCATCTTATCAGCCCCACTAGCTAAAAGGGAAATCTTGGGATGCAGGAAGGCTGGCTGAGGAGCCACCACTCAAATTTTTATCTGTGGTTCATTTCCCAGGAGTTCTTCTATAGCTGCCTGCATGGAAAGTTCAAGTCCTTCCAGAAAATACAGAAAAGTGCTGGTTTGGCATTGTGTGTGGTTTATACCAGGAGCCCACTTCTCCAGAGGCTGCCTCGCCCTCTGAGAAGCCTGTGTTCAGATGTGTTTGTGAAGCAGCCACTGTGAGGCCTACACTTGGTATCCTGACCTCAGCCCTATCTTCCGTTCCTCCTCTTCCAGAGTGTTGCAGTCACCAAGAAGAGAGACAGTTCTGAAACTTTGGGCTACTCTTCCAAATCAGAAAATCCATCCCCTCCAGCATGGCAGGTAATGACCTGTTATGGGGATGTAAGACATTTAGCCAGAAATTCTATCATTTGTTATTAAAAATCCTAAGCAACCTAGATGCATATATGAACCTTCTTGGTTTATGACATGGATCACTGCATGTAATTATTTTCTTTTGTATTTTTACTTTTTCCATTTCAACCTCCTCCAGAAAGAGTGGGATGCACGGCTATCCTGTCATTGTCCAGAAACCATCCTTGGGACAAAAAGTTCCCCAAAAAGGGGAACTGAGGAAATGGGCTTCTATTTTAGACCAAGGTTTGATTCCATCTTTACCGTTCCCCTCCTTCTGCAGTACTGGGGACCAAACTCAGCACCACATGCACCAGAAGCACATGTTCTATCACTGAGCCCACCTCCAGTGCTTCTGTGTGTGTTTATGATATACATGAACACATCAGAGACACATATGTAATTTTACAACTCATTATTTTTTACTCAGTAATATATAACATTGTAATTCTTTCACTTTAAACATGTAGATTTACCTTATTGTACATGTTATGGTATAGATTTGGGTTTTTCCTTTGCTTTTACAATATTTGTTTGTACATGCCAGAAAAGTACTCTCTACTGAGCTCTATTCTGTCCCTTTACCTGGCTTTGGATTTTTCACCCTTGGTACTACTGATATTTGAGACAGGATCAGTTTTACAGGTGCCATCTTATAGTGTATTTAGCACTGTCTCTGGGCTGTGCCCCTTAGATGCCAGAAGCACCCCTTCCCCCACCAGTTATGACAATTAGAAACATCCCCACCTTTGACAGCAGTGCCCGTGACTGGTAATGCTGCCCCTAATTGAGAAACAGTGATGTAGGTATTTCATTTATATCCATCCTCTTGGCAAGCCTTTAAAGTACAGTTCCTTTATAGCACTGTAGCATTAGAAAGTGAAATAAAACCTAATAAGTAACCCAACACATGGAATTCAACCTTTACACTCAGATGAATGCCCTGAAACTGTTTGCTTCAAACTAACATGTGTTTTCTATTCAGGGTCCTAGACTAGAAAGTTCAAACCAAGAGTTTAATATCTTAGTGCCAGAGAGATTGCCAGTAAAGTGCTTGCCAAACACACATGAGACCTGAGTTCAGATTCCTAACACACACACAAAACCTAGGTACAGGAGCACTCATCTGTAACCCAGCATGCAGACAGAGGCATTCCTGGAGCTCTCTGTCCAGCCACTCTAGCCAAATCAGTTCAATGAGAGACTATCTCAAAAAATAAGGTAGAAAAAGCCACTGAAGAAGACACCTGACACAGACCTCTGGCCTCTATAACGTAGGTGTACTTACACTGACATGCACCCGTACACACACAAGAGTTTTACTATGCATGCTCGTGTGTGTGTGTGTGTGTGTGTGTGTGTGTGTGTGTACAAGCACACATGCATATGCAGGTGCACTTCCATGTGTGTGCGAATGAGAAGGCCAAAGATTGACACTGGATATCTTCCTCACTCATTCTCCACCTGATTTTTAAAATTCTTTTATGTATATGAGTGTTTGCATGTATGTCTGTGTACCACATGCATGTCTTGCATCCACAGAGGTCAGAAGAGGGCATTGGATCTTCTGCAACTACAGTTACAGATGATTGTGAACTGCCAATGTAGGTGTTGAGAACTGAACCCAGGTCCTCTGGAAGAGCTCCTCTGAGCCATCCCTTCAGGCCCCTCAACCTTATTTTTTAAATACAGGGTCTGTAATGGAATCTGCAGCACCCTGATTGACCTAGACTGGCTAGCCTCTGAGCTCCCAGTATTCTCTTATCTCTACCCACCCCCTACTAAGTACTAGTGTTACAGACATGTGCTGACACCCTTGGGTGGGTGCTAGGATCCAAATTCAGTTCCTTATGCTTATTTATGACAGAAACAGTGCCTTCATGGCCTGCTCTTAGAATCTTCTTGTCTCAATGTTACCACCAAAAGAGGTTCCACAGGCTCTGTCTCCCTCAAGACACCAGGGTCTGTTTCATCCTACTTTATTTAAATGTCAGGTGTCCATGGACCTGGGGGAGGTGGAAGCAGAATACACCAGTCACAGGAGGTTAATTCCTTTTATTTTTTGTTTTGTTTTGTTTTCTGTTATAGAGAAAGGCTAAAACTTGTCATAAAGGCTATCCAAACTGAGCAGGCTTTTCAAAGACTTTTAGTTGTATGTTTTCTAAGGAGACATGGTTTAGTTCATTGTATTTGTGAGTAAAGGTTGACTATCCCAATCCAAAGATACAATTTTGAGCACATGATTACCATATCTCCAGAGTCAAAAAGATTGGGTTCATCAGCATTTACAATTTTGAATTTTAAAGTTTGGGGTGTTTGACTTATAAAGTCTATACAAATTTTGCAAAATCTGAAAAAGCCAAATTCCAAATCACTTCTGGTCCCAAGTATTTAAAAAATAGGAGCTACTCCATTTGCATTAGTAAGCCCAAGTTACAGTACACTACAATAGTACTAAAATATTATCTTATCACCCATTTAAATGGTTGCTGGTTCCTTTGTTTCAATGCAGTGATATACCTATCCATCACTTTCACCCTAGTCTTCACTGAGTTTTGACAAAAAGATGTGCTCTTCAAAGGAAACATCTCTTCCCCTGGTACAGGTAAGAAAGTGCTCATCATCTATGCACACCAAGAACCCAAGTCCTTAAATGGGTCTCTGAAGGAAGTGGCTGTTGAAGAACTGAGCAAGCAGGGATGCACAGTCACTGTGTCTGACTTGTACGCCATGAACTTTGAGCCGAGGGCCACAAGAAATGATATCACTGGTGAGTAAGTCTAGGCTTAAATCATGTGTCTTAAAATTTTCTGTGTTTTATATTTTTTTATTTTATATGCATTGGTATTTTGCCTGCATGTATGTCTGTGTGAGTGTGTCAGATATTGGAGTTACAGACAGTTGTGAGCTGCCATGTGGATGCTGGGAATTTAACTCAGGACTTCTAGAAGAGCAGTCAGTGCTCTTAACCGCTGAGCCATCTCTCCAGCCCCCATATTTTGTAATTTTTTAAAATGTCAACAATATCTAACTGTTGTTCCATGACCTCAAGTCTCAAGTCAAGAGTCCATGTTACCAGTCTCTGTCATTCCTGTTCCCCAGCAACCCAATTCCTCTGCTCCTAACATAGCGAGGTTTCTTTTAAAAGAAAGATTATTCTATTTAATTATGTGTATGTCTATGTGAGGGTAGGTGCAGATGCATGTGGTTGTCTGCAGAGGCCAGAAGTGAGCATTGGATACCCTGGAGCTAGAGTTACAGGCAGTTGTGAGCCTCTGGACATTGGTGCTAAGATTTGAATCTGGGTCCTCTACAGAAGCAGTATGTGCTACCTCTCCAGCCCCATTTTCTGTATTTTCAGAGATATCTGTGCTATGCAAGCAAGTATGAGGGTTGCGTTAGTCAGCTTCTTCACCTCTCACAGAACACTTAACCAACTTGAGGAGAGATTTATCTGGGCTTGCAGTTCTAGGACAGTGGCTGGATCCACTTGGATCATTGCTGCAATGGCTTCTAAGTACCTGGGAACCTGAGCACAATCAAACGAATTCTGGGGAAATAGCTTCCTAGGATTTGAACATTTTCAGTAAGATCAGGCAGTAGGCAAGCCTGCAGGGCATTGTCTTAATTAGTGATTGAGGGGGAGGGCCTGGCCTGTGTGGGTTGGGCCACCCATGTGCTGGTGATCCTGGGTTCTCTAAGAAAGCAAGCTGAGCAAGCCGTAAGGAGGAAGCCAGTGATCAGCACCCCTCCATGGCCTCTGCATCAGCTCCTGGATCCAGGTTCCTGCCCTGTTTGAGTTCCTGTCCTGATTTCCTCCAATGCTGAAGAGTGATGTGGAAGTATAACCCAAATAAACCCTTTCCTCCCCAAGTTGCTTTGGTCATGGTGTTTCATCATAGCAGTAGTTATCCTAACTAAGGCAGAATTTAGTACCAGGAGTGGGGTACTTCTGTGACAGACCTAACCATGTTGTTTGGGGGAAGACTGTGAAAGGACTTTGAACTTTGGGTGAGAAAAGCCATTGAGTAGTTGAAGCTTGGTGAGCTGTTCTGTAGGAGCTTGGGAAAAAAGACTGTTAAGAGAAATGCAGACAATGGAGACATGGGTTGTGAAGTTCTACAGGGAAATTTGAGAGCTGCTAAAAGACTGTGGCCATTGCATATTTACTATTTTGAATTAAGATTCTGTAGTTTTGGTCAGCTGGGGCTGAAGACTCAGCCATGATTAACAAGAGACCAGTACCATTAAAATGAAACCTTTACTTTACTGGGTGTCTTAGTCACTGCTCTATTGCTGTGAAGAGACACAAAGGCAACTCTTATAAAAGAAAGCATTTAATTGAGGCCTTGCTTACAGTTTCAGAGGGTTAGTCTGCCATCATCATGGCAGGGAACATGGTGGCATGCATCGGGGCAGGCATGGTACTGGAGAAGTAGCTCAGAGTTATATCCTGGTCTGCAGGCAGCAAGCAAGACACTGGATCTGTTGTGGGATATTGAAACCTCAAAGTCCACTCCCAGTGACACACTTCCTCCAACAAGGTTACATCTCTTAATCTTTCTCAGTCTACCAACTGATGACTAAGCATTCAAATATATGAGCCTATGGTGACCAATTCTTTCAAACCACCACACTGGGACAATTGATGCTAGTCAGCTAGAGCTGAGAAATTAGCAGTAATTAAAAAGAAACCAGCATCATTGAGGTGAAATCTTCTGGGAAGTGTTTCCTGAGAGTCAGCACACAGAATTATATATATGTATATGTATCTATACATCTATATCTATAATTTAATATTCTTATCAATCTAGGTCAATGTCACTTCCTAGTTTTTGTAATTGTTAAAGTCTTTTAAGTCAGCATTCCAGATCAAAAAAAGAAACTTGGTGATATTTTTGCTGCAGTTCCATTAAGTATATAGGTGAACTTAGCAAGAATTCCCCTTCTGAGATACTGTCTCTTGCTCTCCAAGAGAATGATGTGACCTTTCATTTGCTCTACATTTCCTCCCTCATTTCCCTCCCCCTTTCTTCCTCAGGCTTATTGAGATGTTTTAACATGGATTTTGATAAGTGTATACTCAGTCAACCCTAACTTTCTTTTTTTGTTTTTGTTTTTTGTTTGTTTGTTTTGAGACTGGGTTTCACTGTGTAACAAGCCTTGGCTGTACTGGAACTTGATCTGTAAACCAGGCTTTCCTTGAACTCAGAGATCCACCTGCCTCTGTCTCCCAAGTGTTGGGATCAAGGGCATATACCACCACTACACATCTCTTTCTTACTGTTAGTAATGCTTTAATTGATTCTATGGGGCTCACCAGACTTGTGAACAACTATCAGCAAATAATTTTACCTCATTTTTTCCAGTATTTAATACCTCTAATTTGAAGGTGCTCATTGTCTATTGTTGTGTAGAGTACTCCTCCAGATACAGTCTGTAATATTCATCACGATCTTTCTTTTTATATTTATGTGTATGTGTGTTTGCTTGCTTGCCTATATGTACACTACATGCATGCAAGTGCCTGAGGAGGCTGGAAGAGGGTATGAGAATTCCTGGAATAGGAGTTACAGAAGATTATGACCTGTCTTATGTGGATGCTGAAAACCAAATCCTGATCCTCTTCAAGAGCACCAAGTGCTTTCAACCACTGAGTCATCTCTCCACCTCCCCTCCTCCCTTTATTTAATACACTAGTTCAGGCTGGGGATATAGCACAACAGTCGGATGCTTGATAAGCATGTGCAAAGCCAATACTATTTTCTCTTAATAAACAGCAGCACAGGGACTAAGAAAATAGAAAGTAAGATAGGAAGTCATAATTTTAAGCTAATAAACTAATACATATTCATGCCAAAATATAGGTGATAAGATTAAAAGTGCAAGCAAATACTATACCATTTTATATCTACCACCAATTTTATGATGTGCAGGAAGTGTCAGAACCAGTTCCCTTGGATACTTACTGAAGGAATACTGTAAATACAAATGACCTAGGTGGATTTGCCCTGCATGGAAAGTGTTGGGCACACCCCATCTGATAACCTCTCCAGTACATCCTAGCCTCTTCCCTATAGTACTTATGGTCTAAGGGTGCCTGTAAAGCACAGAAAAATAGAATGCAAAGAAATGCTCAACTTTTTTCAGTTATGAAAATATTGAAGGACTAACCCACTTTCCATTGAGATTCTTCTCAGAGGTCTTAAGTTTGCAAACTCTAGACTTGATGCTATGCAGTGGAGGTCACAACTGAGTCTCAGGCTACCCTACCTGTAGGGCCACTTCTGCTACTTGGGACTCACATGGCACTCACTAAGTACCTAGCTTCTCACAAGTCTTGGTTTCCTCTCTACTAAACCAGGAATTATAGTGATTGTTGTTAAGAAGATATGAAAAGTGACCAGTGCAGAGCACAGCTCCTGACAGATAGGAAGCACTCTGTCAGTGTGGTTCTCCCAGCCTTCTCTATCCTTAGCCTGGTCTCAAGGCTGAGCTTCTGGCCAGGTCACAGCAAATCCCCAAGACTTTCATGAGTCCAGACCACAGGTTTTTTTGGAAGGAACTGTAACAAGGGAACTGGGAACTGGGATAAGCTGGGGACTGAGAAATTGAATTCTTCCTTCCTAGGTGCCCTCTCTAATCCTGAAGTCTTCAGATATGGGATAGAGACCTATGAAGCCTACAAGAAAACAGCTTTGACCAGTGACATACTTGAGGAGCAGAGAAAGGTGCAAGAAGCTGATCTAGTGATATTTCAGGTTTGTTTTTTGCTCAGATTAATGAGTAGGTTCATCCTATGAACAAACACTTGAACATTACATTTGGAACTCGTGATTTTTTTTTAGCACTTATACATGGTTACTTGAAATACCTTTCCTAGTTATAACCCTAGTTAGAATACTTTCCTACTTTGATAAAGAGATCCTTATAGTCAATATTACACAAACCTCTGACTCCCTAAGTCAGTATGAATCAAGAATGTAACCACTGGCCTAGTAGTCCCAGAAGCATCTGAATCATGCCAGTCTTTCTGCTTTTATCCTCCCAAAGCCCCTGTCCCAGACATGCCAGCTAGCTGGGAACCAGCTTTCTCTGCACAACTGTTTATCAAGGCAGTTTAGGCCAACTCCTGCATTAAATGCTCTGACCATTGACAGGACAACCTCTCACTAGCTACTACATATACATTAATGCATGCATGCGTGCACGCGCGCACACACACACACACACACACACACACACACACACACACACACACACCCCAGATTGGTGTATATATCCCAAGAAGAAGCCACTACAGAAGGAGCTAGCCCCATAGACTGACTTCCAGAAGTACTAACTCAGTCGGACCACTCCTGCCAGCAATGGACAGGGTGCAGTTAACGTGGGCCTGAAGTATGGACAGTCAGGTAAGTGTGATGAAAATCCAAGTCAGACTAAACAGGAACTGCGGCTGAGTATATAAGTCTCTGCTCACCTGAGTCCTCTGAGCAAGAACAGTCACGGCAGCACTTCTGGAGTGCTCTGCTCTCCCCAGATTTCCATCACGCGAGGACTTCACTGACCGAAAGTCTCTGTTTTAGTTTGGGTTACTATTGCTGTGATAAAACACCATGACCAAAAGCCAAGTTGGGGAGGAAAGGGTTTATTTGACTTACACTTCCACATTCATAGGCCACCATGGAAGGAAGCCAGGACAGAAACTCAAATAGGGTGAGAATCTGGAGACAGGACATGATGCACAGGCCATGGAGTGTTGCTTCCTGGCTTGCTCAGCCGGCTTCCTTACAGAACCCAGGACCACCAGCCCAGGGGTGGCACTACCCACAATGGACTGAGCCCTCCCCCATCAATCACTAATTAAGAAAATGCTCTACAGGCTTGCCTGCAGTGTGATCTTATGGAGGCATTTTCTTAATTGGGCTCCCTCCTCTCGGATGACTTTAGTTTGTGTCAAGTTAACATAAAACTATGCAGCACACATCCTCACTGTCTGCTTTGTGGCTAGCATAAGGAACTGTCATTGGGAGACCATCACCGGAATAGCAACTGGACCATAGTCAGCTCTACCTTTAGCCCCACTGTGCCCATGTTGTGCCCACTGAGCAGATCCTATAGGCTACTTTTGCCTGCTGGGTGCCCTGAAAGGAGAGGTCAGTAGGACTAAAGTATGAATCCTGAGACAGAGCATAATTTGTTTCTACTTGTCTATCCCCAGTTCCCACTATACTGGTTCAGCGTTCCAGCAATCCTAAAAGGCTGGATGGATAGGGTGCTGTGCCAAGGGTTTGCCTTCGACATCTCAGGCTTTTATGACTCTGGTTTTCTCAAGGTATGTTCTCTGGGGATAAGGATTGCTACAGATCCTTCCAGTGGGAGGAAGGGGAGAAAGGGGGTGGGAAGGGAATCTATCAACTTACATGTCTAGTTTGCATCTTTGTGTTAGGTAAGTAAATATTCATTAAGCACTTAATGTATGCACAGCACACTTCATGGATGATAAGTGCATCCTTTTTTTAAATTCACAGAGCTTTTTGATTATGGGGGATATGCATCTACACTAATCTACACACAAGGAAAAGGAACTATGGGGCTAAGTACTGGGCAAGAGTGAAATGGGTAATGACATGGACAGTACCATTTTCAGCCCCAACCTCAGGGTACTGACTCTGTGACAGTCTGGCTGGTTTTACACTATTTTACACTTTTGGGCTCCATATGCCCACCCTGGGTGGGGGGATAATCATATACCTCCTATATTTTAGGAGAGGGTGTGGAAAACCTGGTAGGTACCATGCATTGTATCTGTAAATGTCTTACTGAGAGGACTTTCTACTAAGCAAATGGCTTTGCATTCTAAAAGCTTCAAGAATTAAAGGTATATGAGGAAAATGAGTCAAGTAACCAAGATACTGACCTTCACTGCATAATCATCCTGTGTGAGCTTCACTCACCTCCCATCAGCCCTGTGGTCAGTAGCTCAGTTCTCACGGGGTCTCTGAAACCTAGTTCTCTCCAGAAGTTTGATATTCACTTGTCCCTTTGCTGCCTGCTCTGTCCCCATCCCTGTTAGGGTATTAGCTGCCACCTTTAGATGGGACTGTGGGACATGGGGAGATTACATTTGTCTACCCTGGAAGGAACCTGACTTCAGACTCCCTTCCGACCTTCTTATCTGTACGACATCCCAGGAGCACTGTTTCCTCTTCTGGCAGCCCCATGATGCATTTACTTTCTCCCTTGCCTGCAGGGTAAATTAGCCCTCCTTTCCTTAACCACGGGAGGTACGGCTGAGATGTACACAAAAGCTGGAGTCAGTGGAGATTTCCGGTACTTCCTATGGCCACTCCAGGTAAACGGGGCTGTGAGCCTTCTCTGCTTTGCTGGTGCACTGGACAACCCCCCTCCCTACTGCACCTTATACACACACGCCTTGTAAGCTTGACACTCCATTTGACTCGCAACTAGATAGAGACCATTTTGACTCCCAACTAGATAGAGAAAATGATATTTTATCCTTATCTTATTTTTTTAATTGGTAGAAGTTTAAAGCCTGGCTAAAAGGAAAGACATACAACTTTTTTTTTTTTGGTTTTTCGAGACAGGGTTTCTCTGTGTAGCTTTGCGCCTTTCCTGGGACTCACTTGGTAGTCCAGGCTGGCCTCGAACTCACAGAGATCCGCCTGGCTCTGCCTCCCGAGTGCTGGGATTAAAGGCGTGCGCCACCACCGCCCGGCTGACATACAACTTTTAATAACGCTTGACCCAAAGTTAAGCCAAACCTGGTTAGCCTACTGTATGCTTTCTGGGGATTGTGATAGCCTTGAGGTGGCACCAGCTGTGTGGGTACCAGTGATGAGCAACACCAAGGCCTGGAGAGCCTTCCCCAGACTTTCAGTGCTCTATGAAGCTAGCACCACCTTAGCCTTGGTGAGAGGTACTACAGACCCTGTGATCTAGATGGCTTCACCTGGGCCTCTGAACACCCTGGAAGATGAATGGCTAAAGAATAACCATCTACTGAGGGGAAAGGCGATGGCAGAGGGAGTCCCAGCAGGCTAGGATGTCCATGTGTATGGAACATGGGAAAGTGAGGGAAAGAGAACATGAGGCAGACTTCAGAGCAAAGACTCTTAGGAGACCTGGGAAGCGAAATGGATGGGGATGCCTGTCTAGGTGCGAGGAAGGCTTGTACTTAATAGCTGGAGTGATTGCTTTTGTGAATGTAGACATTATGGACAGAAGATGCAAGTATGAGTCTGTGGTATAGCAAGTGCATACACAAAGCCTTGAGTTTGAGCTCCAGCTCCCTATAAGCTAGTTGTGAGAGTACATACCCATAATCACCACTTGGGAGGTGGAGACAGGAGGATCAGAAGTTCAAAGTCATCCTTAGCTACACAAGTTTGAGGCCCACCTGAAATATAGGAGTCCCTGCCTCAAAATAATAAATAAAAATTAGTAATTGTCCCTTTTCTTTTTAGGTTCACATTTCTTACACCCCATTTCTATTGAGATGTTGGCATTATTTATTTATTTATTTTGGTTTTTTTCAAGATAGGGTTTCTCTGTGTAGCTTTGGAGCCTATCCTGGAACTCTCTCTGTAGACCAGCGGGGCCTCAAACTCACAGAGATCTGCCTGCCTCTGCCTCCCAAGTGCCGGGATTAAAGGCGTGTGCCACCACTGCCCAGCAAGGTGTTGGCATTTTTAACTGATTTGTTAGCTCTCTCTCCCTCTCTTTCTCTCTCTCTGTTAGTGAAATTATTCTATTATATCTTTTCAAAAACAGTAAGAGTTTCTTTTATATAGATAGTATATAATTAAGTTCACTCCTTGCCTTTGTTGTTTGCTCTCCTGTGTGTTATGGATGTGTGTGTGTGTGTGTGTGTGTGTGTGTGTGTGTGTGTGTGTGTGTGTGTGTGTGAGTGTATGCACTTGCCCATGCATGCATGTGTGAATGCTACAGGTCAATGTCAAGGCTCCTCCTTGATCACTTTCCACCGCATTTTTTGAGATCACATCTCCCACTGATCCTGGTACTTGCTAATTTGGCTGGACTGGATGGCCAGGGAGCCCTGGGATCTGCCTATCTTTGCCCCTCCTCCCACATATACTGGGGTTACAGACCCAGCTTTTTTATGATTAGAGTTCAGAACTCAGGGCCTTATCCTTGCACAGCAAGCATGAAACCATCTGAGCCGTCTCCCTAGCCCACTGTTACCATTTTAAATTTAATAATCTAAAAGTTCCTTTTGTATTTATGAAGGCTACTGGTTTCCCCCTCTCTCTCTTTCACCCAGTCCATTTGCTGAGTTCTCCTAATGATGTTAATTAATGTTTTAAATTTTTTATTTAATTTTTAAAAATTACATTATTTATTGAGGCAGAGGAGAGCAGGGGCTCCATGCCACAGCATCCACATGGAGATTAGAGAATGACTTTCAGGAGTTGGTTATCTCCATGGGGGTCCTGAGAATCAAACTTAGATCATCAGGCTTGGCAGCCTATGCCCTTAGCCACTGAGACATCTTACCAGCCCCATAAATTATTTTTTGAAAAAGATTTGTTTTTATGTGTTTGAGTGTTTTGCTTGCATGCATGCTATATATCACATGTGTGCAGTGCCCACAGAGGGCAGAAGAGAGTATTTGAGTCTCTGGGACTGGAGTTACAGACAGTTGTGAATTGCCCTGTGGGTGCTGGTAACCAAACTCTGACTACTAGCAAGAGCATCAAGTGCTCTTAACTGCTGAACTATTTCTCCAGCCCCCAATAGTGGATTTTTAAGAGCTGATTTCCAATAAATAAAATCATGTCGTCTAGCAGAAAGTAATATAACAACATGTATGTAGGCTTTTTGTTCTCTAACTCCACCTGACAGGGAATTCTTGGATGAGGGTGTAAGTTTTGAAGAGCATAGTGCAGAAGACCAAGTGTGCTGTTTCTAGGGAGAAATTAGGCTCCTTTTGAAAGATGATTACAATTAGTGGGTTAGTGCTGCTCCATGAAGGGCAATTACCCTGTGAGCTTCCTTCTCTGAAGGCTACCCAGTCTCATACATGTCACTGACTAAGCTTAAATCTTGTTTTAGAAACATGTACTTTACCTAGTTTATAACAACATATAGTAGAAGAAAGGTAAACAATATAATAAATTTAAAGTCCACTTAATCTACACCTCCAGAAAGAATTATTTGTAATTTATTTCCTAATGGCCTAGATAGATCCTTACATAAAAAATGTTTACTAGTTTATTATTGTTGTACATAAATGGTATACAAGAAATACTGTTTAAAATTTGTTTTGATTAACAAGAATGGTCAACAACTTTCTATAGCAGTACATCATAGCTAAAATAACTTCTCTGTACATAGCATTCAATGTAGCAGAATTTGCCAAATCCATCAAAACTGTAATGTTTAGTGATGGACTCATTAGCCAAGTTCTTCTGCTTATGAAGCACTCTATCCTGCAGCTATCCAGAAATGGGTTGTAAATTTGTAGCATTTGTTTCATAATTTTTTGAAGGATTCTTCATGTCATTTCCCCCTTTTTACTAATTTAACTGTGTATACACAGAGTGTGGTTATGACCAGTTCTTTCTTTTCTGACTTCAGCATGGCATATTACACTTCTGTGGATTTAAGACCCTTGCCCCACAGATCAGTTTTGGTATTGACACCTCATCAGAAGAAGAAATAAAAGTGATGGTGGCATCATGGGCCCAGCGGCTGAAGAGCATCTGGAAGGAAGAGCCTATCCACTGCACACCCTCTTGGTACTTCCGAGAGTAACATTTTGTGCTCTGAGCACATCTAACAAGCAGCACACCAAGAGACCTAAAGTATGTGCAAAGAGAAGGTGGTGCTGTACCCAGAGATGTAGTTAACAGTGCCCACCAATGAGTGTCTTCAGTTTCATGCACCTAGATCAGATATTTCAATAATCAGCTTGGTGTGCTATATTAGTTCTGCCTGGTTGTTATTTACTCATTTTTCATTTCTTTCTAAAATTTCTTTCTCTCTAAAATTTCTCTTGCTACTCTCAACCTTTATAGTATAGTTTTTCTGAACATGGAGGTGGATTTGTTTGTTGTTTCATTTTTTTTTAACCCATTGTAACTAATGTTTTAGTACGGAATTTGAATTTACTTCTGTCTTTTTCTTTTGATTTGGGGGTTATTATGATGTTTTAATTGAATAGCAGTCTAACATTTTTTAATCATTTAGTACATCAAAGCCTTTGATAGTATTCTACCACTGTTCACAGTGTTACATGAACAACACTGAATAATGACTCTGAAAAAATAGGCACAGATATATGGAGATATCTCTACTGAAGACAAGGCTGTTGCTAGCACCCAGGACCCTTGTGAATTGCTGGACCCCAGAGTACTAGGAAGTAGGAATTCTTTTGCCCTGGTCCCACAGCTCCCCATTTCCAGTACTGAATGAGAGGACAAGAATTCTGAATAGAGGGAACCTTGCTGCAATCCCAGGTTTCAGAAGTCACTACACCTTGGGAGTTGATAACCTCAGCTTGGCCTCACATATCTAAGGACATTATTAATTCTGCCTCCCAAGCAGAAACACTAGCAGTTCCAGAGCTGAGACCTTACTCACATCTAATCAGCTATGTCACCTTACTTAAATCCTTCATCATCAGGGCAGTGGGAATTACTGCTCTACAAACAAAAGGAAATGGCCACACCATTCCCTTAGGAGCATAGGGCCTTGTCTGGTGGTAGCCATTGGCTGTGTCAGAGCAACAGCAGTTGGCAATTGAAGTTAAGGTGTCAGTCCACCAGAACAAAAACTCTCTGATGGGTATATCTCATTCAACCAAGGCTTACAAGAATACAGACTCCAGAATGTCTTTTATTTTTTATTTTTTTTTATTTTATTTATTTAGTTTTTTATTTTGCAATACAATTCAGTTCTACATATCAGCCACGGATTCCCTTGTTCTCCCCCCTCCCGTCCCCCTCACCTTACCCCAGCTCCCCCCCATTCCCATCTCCTCCAGGGCAAAGCCTTCCCCACAGACTGAGTTCAACCTGGTAGACTCAGTCCAGGTAGGTCCAGTCCTCTCCTCCCAGGCCGAGCCAAGCAATCCTGCATAGGCCCCAGGTTTCAAACAGCCAACTCACAGAATGTCTTTTATGCTGTGCCTTCACACTGTTGCTGCTACATACTTTTCTCTGGTATCTGATATAATGTATATATGTATGTGGGGAGTCCCCCACTACCTGCATTGTAGTGTGTTTATCTCATTAATACATTCCGATTTTCTGGGCATTTTTATCTGTGGGTTATCTAAAAGGTGACACCTCCTTAAGCTATATTGTGCATTTGATATCAATAATGTTAGCTTATACAGAGTTTTAATGAATACAAAGAAATTCTACACAAGTAAAGGATTATAAATTTTCCCTAAAAGCTGTTTTAGATTACAGCTCAGGTTGACATAGAAAAATAGCTGAATTTCCTCAGCTGCCAAGATAGCTGTACACTATTAGCTGATATAAAGCTTTAAAGTAGCTTTGGATTAGACCAGGAGCCTTGCTAATGGCTTTTAAGATAAACTATTCCCAGGAAAAGCAGTCCAGTTTACAAGGACATAATAGCCAGCTGTCTGATTTGCTGAACCAAGGTTAAAGGTGCAGAGCAATGTAATTGCTGTGCCAGTCTCTTGCTAGGTCTGGCTGATAACCTAGGACAGTGATTAACTCTGTTCTGTTAACTGAGTTCCTAACCTCAGTTTTATAATATGGGTAATGTAACCTGAAGACTCAAACTTCAGCCAACTAACTGTTTTTATGTTGGGTCTTGAAATTGCACAGGTGACAGGGAGCAATTCACTGAGGTCTAGAAACAAAAACAGCTTTTGTTCAGATATACCGCAGGAGATTTTCCAACTGGCCAGGGCTACAGACAATAATCTGACCTCATAGCCCCAAGGAAGAGCTGCAAGTTTCCTTTTTATGGGTCTAAAGTTTGACACAGGACAGAAAAATATATTTTAAGATTTAAAACGCTTTTTGTGTCACTATGCCTTGGAGAGTGCAGAGTAAGCTTATATTAAAAGATTTAAGGTAATCCTAAATCCGAACCAGAGCATTTATGACACATTTCTCTCAATGTAAACACTCAGAGTTTGAGAAAGCCCTGCATTTTACAACTGTTAATCACAAAATATTAGTTTAAAATGTTTATTACACTCAGAAGTATAGGATGTAGTACACAATTTCCTTATTTTTCTTAGACTCCTCAGTAGTTTAGTTTTATAACTCCTTTAAAATCCTTTATAAGACTATACCTCTCTATAGCAAGAAATCCACAGAGTCTGTTTAAAGGGCAAAGGAATTTATTAAGGGAAAAACTCACTGTACAGAACAGAATAGTCTTGGATTCTGGAACGCTGTTCCAGTCATCTGAGTCAGTCCCATATCCAAAACCACAAGGTAGAGAAGAGAGAACATATGTGCATCTCAGGTCTTAAGGGTCCCCAAAAGACCATGCCCCAAGGACATGTACTTCAAGGTCACAGGCAGATAGAGCAGTTACCTGCTGCATCTCTAGGGGCAGTGCTTCAAGGTTATAGGCAGAACAGTTATGCACTACACCTCTCTAGATGGATAACAATGGTTCTTTCTTTGCAGCTGCGTATTACAGCTCACCAATCAGGGAGTTGACTGAGAAATAATGTTCCTTCTTTGCTCTTTGACAAGTTATTTAGATTTATTGCTTGTGAGTTGTCAGGATGACTGTTTTTTATCATTTACTTAAGAAATGGAATGTGACCTTCAAATGTAACTCCTATATTGCCTGAAAGATTCTGTTGGGTATGTATAACTGTGAAGATCAAAGGGGTTCAGATTCAACATGAGAGAAGAGAAACAATCAGAATAGCTGTGAGTGTGTTTTTTTTCCCCTAACCCCCTGAGAAAACGTCTTAACTTTGCTGTGCTGTGGACTTCCCTTTTGAGCCCTGTCTGTAGCCTGGAAGCTGGTTCTTCTTGGGCTGTGGTACTTGGCTCTGTGTAGTTCTGTTCCCTGAGCAATTCTGAATAGAGCTGGGTATCAAAGAAGCAAGCATTGCTCAATGTAAGAAAGTAGGAGGGGTTCTGGGGGAAATCCTAGCAGCTCCAAGGGACAGAGATGCTGGCACAAGTCTCAAGGTGGAGAAAACAAGCCCCCCCCCCCAATGGCAAAATGCAGGGATCAGGAATAAGGTTGTTTGTGAGCAATTCAGTGATGGAGGTGGAATGGGATACTTAGAGAAACACATCTTGTACCACAAGGCCCTCCCACTGATGCGTCTACCAGGCAACAGCTTTGCCCTTAAAAGTGTTATTCCACCTGGATTACACTAGTACTGAGCCCCCTTGCTGGGACAGTAGTAACTGGCCCAGCACCACTAAGAGCTATCTAACAAAAACAAAACAAAAACAAACAAACAAAAAAAAAAAAAAACAAGGGCTTTTCTATGGCTGGTTCTCTGACCAGGCATTCCAATCACAGACAGAGATTCTAAGGAAATACAGAGAAAGTGAAATTATTTTGGAAACTAACTGCTGTTTGGTTTTATTTTATTTTTGTTTGCAATACTAGTTATAATGGTGAGGGAAAGTATCTAAAATACATATGTATATATAGTGAATGTTTAACATGCCAGGAGCTGCTAACCTTTTCAGTAGTGTGGTAGCGCAATGAATCTTTGTAGTAGCTTTATGAGCAAGTACAGTTAGTTGTCTCACTTTATAGGCACAGAAGATGAATCAGAGTTAGATTAAGACTCTTGCTCCAGGGTCACAGCTATAGAGGTGCATGTAGGATTTGAACCTAGATATGGCCCTCTACTGAGCTGGTATGTGGTACTATGGATACTCATCTTAGCTCATCTCACATATCTCCCTGGTCATTCTGGTGGTAACACTGATTTCCCCAGGGTATTTTGTCCTTATGCTGAGCTATGTTATTTTCACAGTGGTGGCCTTGTACCCACTTGTGGCATCAGACAGACCTGACCAATGTGTGTTCTGTGGCCCAGAAATAACCCAAGCCAGCAAGGAAATTAAACTCAGGGACTGAACAGACATACTGAGAAATAAAGCCTTTTCTTGATGTAGGACCTGGAGTTGTGACACTATAAGTCAGAAACCATACATAGAGTGTGTCGGCCTACAACCAAAGCCATGCTGAAGGAAAGATTGCCCAAGCTATAGAGAGATAACTTCCGGTGGCATCTGTTGAAACATGGACCTATGCATGTCTGCAAGAATTAGTCATCAGCCTTCCAGTTATGTGAGACAACAGACTGCCATTGGGGCTTGAGTGGTTTGGGCTTAGATTTGTATCAATTACAATGGAAGCAAATCTGAGTAATTCAACAAATATGAATATATAAAAACTAGTAAAATTTAAAGCCATGCAATTTATCAAAACCTTTTCACTATATAGCAGCATCTAATAAGCAAAAGGAGAAAGGGATTAAATATCTGTTACTGGGCAAACTGGTGGGGGTAGGAGAGACTTAATACATCATTCGGTCCCAATATGACTAAGTGGGCTTAAGCACAGCAGCCAGTCCTTGGTGGTATCAGTTTTCCCATCTGTGGTGTAAATGGGTCTAGCCTTCAATTATTACACCACCTAACAAGCAGGAAGCCAGTGTGTCCCCAGTGCTGGCATCAGTAACTGTGATAGTTAGCTGGATTGGATTAAAAATGTTTATGAGATTAGTGGAGTAGCTCTCTGGTGTGTCTGAGAGCATTTCCAATGACAATTGATCAGGAGGCTTTCACCTAACCAAGAGACTAAACCCTTTATAGATTTATAAGACTTCTTTATTGGGAGATACTGAAAGATGGGAGGTAGGGCCTAGCTGGAAGAAGCAGGACACAAGCATGTCCATGGGGGCTATGCCCTGGCCCCTTCATGAATTCCCTTTTCTTCCTGTCTGAGGTGATATGACTTGCTCTCAATGGGCTGAAACTGTAGGCTAAAGTAAACTTTCTACCTTTAACTTTCTTTCTTAGGTATTCTGGTCACAGCAGTGAAGCCAATAGAGTAATTTCTTTCTTGAGCCTCAAAAACAACTTGAAATCCTTGCCTAGGATCCCAAAGTCCTGGGGTGCTGACCTGGGAGAGTGTGTCCACTGCTATGTCTAATTTTTATTAGCCCTAGCCATTTCTTTTTCTTTAAGGTGGAACTGACTTGCTAAAACGCAATGCATCTGGCCATTTGGTTGATAAAAACCTACTGGGTTAAACCCTAATAAGCTTCAGATTGTATGTTACAAATCAGATCATAAACCACCACACTGGGTGTCTGGCTGAGGTTAAACCTTGCTAAGACTAATTTCCCACTCTTTAGTAGACAAGTTATTCCAAAATGCTCTCCTACAGTAGCAAAACTTCTATCAGATAAACCATTATGAACAAACATCTAAACACATTACTAAAATGAGAAAGTGAAGAAATAACCAAGTATATCCCCAAGCTTACACCCCAACAGTAAAACTAGTCACTTTCAGCCGAATGATAGACATGTGCTGCACCTTGGGCTGCCATGGTGTCATGCTTACACCAACAAAAGTGGACAAATGGTGCCAAACTACACCACAGGTGTATGTGATGTGAGCAGCTAATCATCCTTCTACAAGGGGTTGGTGACACCTTTATAATCCTAAGACTTGGGTGTAGAGACAGGAGGACCACTGTTCATTCCAAGCCTTAGTAGGTTTGAACCAGCCTGGTTTTATTAGGGAGATCTTATCTCAACAAAAGGAAAACATATGCACACACAAACACATATACACAAACAAAAAACAAGAGAGACCATTTATAAAGGGCCTATCCTTGTGAAAAGGTAGAAAACTCTGCTTTTAAAAGCAGACAGGCTATTTCTGCCTTAGTTCTGAATGAGAAAAAAACAAAAATCTGTCCTATACCATAGAATCTTGGATTGAACCTATGGCACCCATATCTACAAAGTCAGAAGAAATCTAAAGGAAGTGGCCTCAAATGAAGCAAAGAGACTAATGTTGGATATAGGAAATAAGAAACAAAGAACATAAATTCTTCCTGAAGGAAAATGTCATTCCCTAACTACGGGCATTTTCCAGAGCTAAGATGAGTTTCATACAAACGTTCCAAAATCTAACACACAAGGAAGTAAAACATATCTTTGACTAAACACAAAACATCAATCTTTAATCACCCAAGAGTTTCATATAGTAGCATTATGAAACATTACACAAAATAACCATGTGTAAAGTGTCTACAGATGTTCAAAAGTCTGTAATTTGAGTAAATTTCAGAATAATAAAACTTTTACAGTTGAAATACATAAAAGTTGAAATTCAACACTGTGACTAGGTTAGCTAGTAGGCACACAGATAAGATAATTAATGAGCTAAAAGATCTGCACAGTGGCTAGAAAGAGGTGTAGCATGAATCTTAAAAGTTCTTATTAATAAAAGCAAACCTGAAGCCAGTTATTGGGGTGAATGCTGGAAGATCAGAGAAGCAGAACAAGCCACAGCTACCTCACCTCGCCAGTTCCTCAGCTGATCCTGTTTCCTCAGACTGGAAACCTCTGAGTCCTCATCCAGAATGAATCTCAGCTGAACTGCTTCTCGAAAGGCTGAAAGCTTAACCAGCCAAAAGCTTCTAGTTTCTGGTCCTCACGCCTTATATACCTTTCTGCTATCTGCCATCACTCCCTGGGATTAAAGGCTCGCCTTCTGGGATTAAAGGTGTGAGTCACCATGCTTGGCTGTATCCTTGAACACATGGATTTCTGCCTCTGGAATGCTAGGATTAAAGGTGTGTGCTACCACTGCCTAACCTCTATGTTTAATATTGTGGCTGTTCTGTCTCTGACCCCAGATAAGTTTATTAGGGTGCACAATATTTTGGGGAACACAATACCACCACAAAGAGGACTTGGCGGTAAAGTGTTTACTGTGAAAGCATGGGAACCTGAGTATGATCCCCAGTAACCACCCCCAAAAAAGCTAGGTATGTACTTGTAATCCCAGTGCTAGAGGTTGAAGACAACAGATCCCAGGCTTTACTAGCCAGCCAGTCTAACCCAAGTGTCATGCTCCATCCAAGTTCAGTGACAGAACTTCTCTCAAAAAATAAATGACTGAGGAAGACATCCCAACACCAACCTTTGGATTCCACAAAAGCAAGTGTAATCCCCACCCCACTCCTGCCCAGAGATCTGGCCAAGTAAGGAAATGAATGAAAATAATGGATTTAGAAACATGGTGAATTGAGCAAAAAAAGACCTGATATATTTCCTAATTAAATGGAGTTCTAGAATGAGAAAGAGGCAGGAGATGAGAATTCTTGGGTTTTATATGAAGACATTAATTTTATAGAAAATATTAAATGATTGTCAGATTTAATAAGTGCCACATGTCTCAAGAAACACAAATTCAAAACTACTATTAGACAGTTTCTCTGTCCAACACAAAGGAAAAATTAAAAGGGCTGCAAAAGTAGGTAACCCGATCTAGACCTCAAGAGAAAAATGAACACATTTCACAAATTAAAAAATATATAATTTCAATGAATATACATTAAAAAAGGAATTTCTTGAAATTATGTGTCTTTTTAGAAGGACAATAATACAAGAAAAGAAAAAAGGCTGAAATGTAGTGGACATGGGGAACGAGGACAGTGGGGAAGGTGTTGACTCTAAGCAAATGATGACTATGAAATAATAACATGGTCCAATTCACAGTGTGGCAGCTGGAGAGGAGAGAGAGCTTGTTTCAGCTTATGGTTCCAGAGGGAGAAAAAGATCTATAATGGTGGGAAGGCATAGCATGCCTGGAGGAGATGGCTAACTGCACACACATGCAGGAAGCGGAGGAAGCAAGCAGAAACTGGGGTAAGACTGCAGACCCGCATAGCCCTCCCCAGTGATGTACTTCCTCCAGTAAGTCTGCACCTACTAAAGATTGCATAACTGCCCTAACAGTACCACCAACTGGGGAACAAGTTTTCAAATACATGAGCCCATGGGGATATTGCACATCCAAGGCACCACATCCATCAAAATCCAGTAAGTGACTATCATAAAGACAATGGAGTATGACTTTTTTCTTCTTTTTAGTTTATTCAACACAAAACACTCTCCAGCTTCACTGAGGTGGCAGACCATGACCAAATCTGCCTCGAAACTGGAATTCATTTGCTGAGCCAGCCCCAGCCTCAGCTTTCTTCTCAGCCCCAGAAGGTATAGCACTCCTTCTGTAGGTGTCTCTCTGCCTCCTCTCCTGTGAATCTTGCAGGTTGCTCACCCTCTAGAGTCTAGAGAACCCAGCAGTTCTCAACCTGTGGGTCGTGGTCCTTTTAGCAAACCTCTATCTCCAAAAATGTTTACAATTCATAACAGTAACAAAATTACACTTATAAAGTAGCAATGAATATAATTTTACAGTTGGGGGTCACTACAACATGAGGAACTGTATTAAAGGGTCCCAGCATTAGGAAGGTTGAGAACCATTGCTCTAGACCTTTGGGCCAAGGCCTGCCAGTCTTAGGACTGCTGCAGCACACAGGGTGGCAGGCACCATCTCCCGAGGCAGGTTGAGGTAATCTCAGAGATACTGGATACCCTTGTTTGTAAGGTGCCAAGAGAAATGTCTCTAGGCAAACTGCTCCTTCACGGAGCCTCAAGACTTGAAAGACTACATGGCCTTCATTACATGAAGGTTGGTACATTGACTGCCAGTGCAGGGTATTTGGTCATATGGACATCTTAGCAACCATCACTCCTTACTTAAAAAGGAGTTCATAGATGGCAATCTGGTTCTTAGGTATCAACATCACGGTAGCTTCAGGGTCTGAGATAGAGGCTGGAAAGGTAAAGTATGACTCTTAAGAGAACCCCATACCACTGGAAGCAAGAACAACTACAAAGAAATATGTGATAGAGAGGTGGGAAAAAATAGAAAAACGCAACGACCCATACATGATGGAGAGAGGCGGAACTGGACACGTAATGGTGGTGACAGGTGTGAGAGAGGGCTGAGATCTACTTGCTGTCATTGCTCAGAAGGGTCGGCTGGATGGTGTACAACAGCCCGGAGCTTAAGCAGATGCACACTCAGCCCCGAACCTGCTGCTTGGCCATGGGATCTCCCTGGCTTTGGGTAACAACAGAGGTCCAAGATGAGGAAAGGTTCACTTTCTGGACCTCCTTGAAGGACCACCGTGGCCCACCATGCCATGGAAGGCAATGTTAGTGTCAGTGGTCCATGCTGCTGACCCAGGTCATGATGAAACCTGAGACCCATGTGGACATATGCAGTCTGTGCCACTGCCTGATGCCTTGGTGATGTCCTCGGGCTTTGCTGCCTCAGGGCACCAGGCTGATGTGAGTGACATGTCTAACTACCTGAGGCCATGTTGAGGCTCATAGCCCATGCAGCCACTGAGGGCCATGAGTAAGTCAGTGGTCCTAATAAAGCCAAGAGCCGTGTTGATGTCTACGGCTCATGTTACCAACAAAGCTCATGTGGATGCCCATGGTCTAAATTGCTGCCTGAAGCCATGGTAACGTCCCTATGTGAGACCTGATCCCACCCATTATGGGAGAGCTGGCCCCGCCTCTCAGTAGCACACCTGCACTCACACATGTATATGTACATATATATACATACATGCCAAATAAATAAATAAAATAAACCCTAGCTCTGCTTCATACTGGCTAGTCCTGAAATTATATTTTTTGTGTCAAAGCCACAAATCCTAGTTTGGCCTGAGCTGAGATCCCTTAAAAGATTAGGGAAACTCCTTGGACAGTAGATTAATGCAATAGAGCAGAGGATTCAGAAATAAGCCCAAGCAACTACAGCCGCCTGATCCTGGACAAAGAAAAAAGGAAAATTCAGCCCCTAATATCCGCATGTAAAAGAATGAAACTACATCCTTGTCTCTCATCATGAAGCTTAAATTGTATCAAAGACCTTAAGGTAAGACCTGAAACTTGGAAACTACTAAAAGAAAATACTTCAAGATATAGGCATAGGTACTGGAGAGATGGCTCAGCAGTTAGGAGCTAGTACTGCTCTTAAGGAGGACCCAAGTTCACTTCCTAGCACCCATATAGGGCAGGTCACAGCCACCTGTAACTTCTGCTCCAGGAGATCTAACATCTCTGGCTTCCGTAGACACCTGCGCGCGCGCGCGCACACACACACACACACACACACACACACACACACACACACACACTTTTTTTTTAAATTTTAACACTTAAAGAATCTAGACATAATGACTTTCTAAATAAGACTGCAATAGCTGCAGAAATAACAAAATCTGGATTCCAAATACTTGACTTGTCCCATTTATCTGATAAGGCTACTTTGGTCCATGATGTGCCTGGGCTACAAAAGAGCTTCCCAGAGCAAAGCAAATAGGTGTGACTGACAGGTTCCTAAATACTTGGGCTGTGCATCTGCTGCCCTCTGGTGGCAGTCTGAAGGGAGCCTTGGGTTCATCTACCATAGGCTAGAGAAGACACAACAGAGCTACAAAGCCCAGCTCTCTGTAGGGTAACTCTTACTTCCTGGGGCTTCTGCACACATTTAAATCATGGGTTTCCTTTTTGCAACTATATATCCTGGCATTCGACCTTCCCTCTACCTCTGAGAAAGCAACCACAACTGGGCTTTTGGTGATCAATGGTATTTATTAAGAGCTAGTTCTAATCAGAGAAATGAAACCAAAACTGGAAAAAAGGTATGTTGCCCTAAAAGTAATCAAAATCTACACCCCACCTCAGAAAAAATTTAATAGCTACCTGATAGTGCCTTCTAAGGAGTTGCTCCAAGAGTTGACCAACTGAATCCTTTCGGATAGAGCCAAAGGCAAACCTTGTACAGTTTCCTATGGTATGAGGATTGACTACCTAAGCCAGTGATTCTCAACCCTCTGTGGGGGTTGAACGACTCTTTCACTGGGGACACCTAAGATAATAATTGGAAAACACAGATATTTACATTATGATTCATAACAGTAGCAAAATTATAGTTATGAAGTAGCAATGAAAATAGTTTTATGGTTGGGGGGGTCACCATAACATGAGGAACTGTATTAAAGGGTCACAGAATTAGGAAGGTTGAGAACCAGTGCCCTAGGCAATGGTGAGAAATACTGAGTCCAGTATCTCAGAGTCTAAACAAAGTACAGCTAAAAGGTGGGGAACACAGGTGGGGAAAAGGCATTAATCCAGGAGGAACAACTGGTCTACTTGGAGAATGAAATTGGTGAGTAGGTCTAAGAACTGATACTCTAGAGAAATGAGGAGCATCAGGCTTTCACCACAAGAAACATCCCCCTCTAATTTTCTAACACAAATTGAACCTACCACAGTAAGAAATTAGAAACTCTGTAAGTATCAAATTATAGGAAAAATATATATTCCATATATTTTGTCCTCACACTGAGAAAGGGTTCCTTTTTAGTAAACTGGTACTTAATTTTCTCTCAAGAACATTTAGAGTGCTATTTACTCATAGGCGGTAATTTCTAACCAATTCTTTCCTACCTTTGTTATTTCCAGAGGGAGCTGCAGGTTCAGCATGGGACTTAGGCCAGTCCAAGAATGCCGTACTTCTGTGGTGTTCAAGAAATGACTCTAGCTTCTGAGGCTGCATCATAACAAAGGAAAAAGCAATAGTGGCTTGGTGAGACCAGAAGCCACAGACTTCTGGAAAGAAAAACCCATTCACAACATGCTCCTTGGTATTCTGAGCAGTAATTTCAACACACTGAATTAGCTACTAAAACATACAGAGTTGTCTAGAAATAGTGCAAATGTCAATTATAAGTACCCATCTACATTAATATCTACTCTAAAAGCAAGTAGAAATTTAGCATCCTTCATTTTAAGAGGATTATGGAGGGGCAGGAAGAAGAGACCCTCAGTGGGTTCCAACACATGGGATTTGTTTGCTATGTGGAATAAGGATCTCCAGGGAGCCTACCCAGATACCATCCTGGGCCTAAACAAACCTAATTTTGGCCACTCTCTCTGAAGCCTTAATACCATCTTTGTTCTACCTGGCCAGAGGGGTTAGAAGGCATACCACACCCATACACCCCCTGGCCCCTGAGCCTTTTCTGGATGCTGCTGGCCTGCCGACACTTCCCATAGTGGCCTGTTGCTTTCCCTACCACTCTAGACAAGTGCTAATCTTAGCAAGCCTACTGTTGGCTGAGCCACACATTCGTCAACAGATCTAAGCCCTCCCCTGGGTGCTCTCCTCTTTGTTTAGACTTCTTTATGTCTATGGTCACTCTTCTACCACAGTTAATTCTTACATTAAACATCTTCAGCTTAGCTGGGTGTGCTGCATGCCTTTAATTCCAGTTCTCCACCACAGCAGCAGGTGGAGATCTGTGAGTTTGAGGTCAGACTGGTCTACATATGGAGTTTCGGGGCAGAGAGAGTTACATAATATAGACACCCCCCCCCCAATCCCAAACCAACCAAATAAAAACATATCTTTAGCTTGGTTTCTAGCTCCTGATTGGTCAGACTTCTCTGTGTAAGGAGGTACTTAAAGGCTCCATGAGAAACAATCAGAATGCAATGGTGAATGGCTTTCATGAACTACTATTTACTATTTTATAAAAAAATGAAATCTAAGATTTCAAGGGCTGAATTGAAGATACCTGGACTCATATCCCCATGATACAATTTGTGTTTACATGAAGCATATTCTTCACTAACAATTATTTTCAATCATTGGAATGACAGTGGAGCTAGATTTTCTTCTGTCATTACTATTTTTCTTCCAGGAATTACTGAGACAGTTTGTGAAGAAAACATTCATTACATACATTTTTTTACTTTATCCTCATCCCTGAGAATTTATCCTAAGGGCATTATTAAAAAGTGACAAATGAGATCAACTTCCATTGCTGGTCCCACCCCTTTCTTTCTCTGTCCATATTGCTCCAGCAAACATGATGAACATTCCTAAGACCCATCAGACTTTTTGCAAGAAATGTGGCAAGCACCAGCCCCATGAAGTGACACAGCACAAGAAGAGCAAGGATTCTTTATATGCCCAGGGAAAGTGGTGTTAGGACAGGAAATGGACTTGCTATGATGGGCAGACTAAGCCTATTTTGCACAAAAAGGCTGAAATGATAAAGAAGATAACGCTGAGACTTGAGTATGTTGAGCCTAACTGCAGATCTAAGAGAATACTTTCTAGTAAGAGATGCAAGCATTTTCAACTGGGAGGTGTTAAGAAGAGAAAGGGCCAAGTGATCCAGTTCTAAGCTGATTTTAAGGACAATAAAATCATGGACTTTTACTCACTTGGAAAAAAGTGACAAATGTTTTAAGTGGAAAAAAAAAAGAACAAATACGGACTTGATTGAAGAAGGTCTACCACCTTTTTTTTGAGATAGGGTGTGATGATTTGAAAGAAAATGGCCCCCAAAGGGAGTGGCACTATTGGGTGTGGTCTTGTTGGAGTAGGTGTAGCCTTGTTAGAGGAAGTGTGTCATTGTGGGGGTGAGCTTTAAGATCTCCTATGCTCAAGCTATGTCCAGTGTCACAGTTCACTTCCTGTTTGTTGCCTACGGATCAAGATGTAGAACTCTCAGCTCCTTCTCCAGCATCATGTCTGCCTACCTACACACTGCCATCTTCCACGTTGGTAATGGACTAAACCTCTGAACTGTAACCCGCCCCAATTACATGTTTTCCTTTATAAGACTTGCCATGGTCATGGTGTCTCTTCAGAGCAAAAGAAACCCTAACTAAGACACAGAGTCTCTCTATGTAGTCCTGGCTGTCCTGGAACTCACCACATAGACCAGGCTGGCTTTGAACTCACAGAGATCCTCTTGCCTCTGCCTCTCAAGCTACAGGATTTAAGGCATGCCCCACCACACCCAGCAAAGCCTACCACTTTTGTACAACAGTATAAACTTAATAGAAAAAAGTAAGATGATGTTATGTATATAACATAGAACATGCTGTCATGAAAAGTATTTAACATAAGAAATGCACTCAAGGAGAGTTACACTATCAAGAATTACATTTTTAATTTAAAACTATATTATTATTATTATTACTATTATTATTATTATTATTATTATTATTATTATTATTATTATTATTATTATTGTAAATACTATCAATTATTTGGCAGGGTAGACCTGGCTGGCCTGGAACTCACTATGTAGAGCAGGCTACTCTCAAACTCATGGAGATCTGCCTGTCTCTGCCTCTCAAGTGCTAGGATTAAAGGCATTTATCACAACAGACTTGGTTCTGGGAATTCTTTGTTTCAAGCTTGCCTGCTACATTTCATTCCAAAGACACTGAAGAAGACACATGTTTTGGAGGGCAGAGACAAAAAGACTCCCAGAAAAGTAGTAGTTAATGCTTATCATATCTTCTCTGTGTTGGTTCCCTAGACCACCCAAACCCTTCGAAAGGCAAGAAAAAGCTTCCTCATAGGATGTGCACAAGTGATGAGTCTATTACATTACAGGAAGGAACACTGAACTTGGAGGTTCTCTGCTCTTAAAAAAACAAACAAACAAACGAAAAAACTAAGGAGCAAACTGTTCTTTGTAGGAGTGAGATGAGATGTTGACTATTCCTTGAGGTTGCTCCTTGCAAATACATCCTAAGAAACTGTCTAGGTAAAGCAGTTAAGTATTTCTGACATTCTCAGTGTTAATATTTATTATCAACTTAACTGGATTTGGAATTACCTAAGAGACACATTCCTGGACCTGACTATGAATGCATTTCTAGAAGTTGGAGAAAACCCACCCTAAATGTGAGCAACACTATGCCATGGACTGGAGTCTCAGACTGAATAAGGGAGAAGAAACCCTCAAGAGCGTCAGGTATCAGTCATGGAGGTGAGGGAAATGGTGTTTGTCCTGTTGGGTTTAGGTATGGCCTTGGCGTGATTTTCCTTACTAACCTACTATTTTTTTTGGAATGGTAATGTTTATTCTGTGCCAATGTACATGAGAGTATATAACTTAAATTTTTATTTTATAGGTGTTCAGAGTTAGGAGAGTGCCTTAAGTTTCATATGAAACAGTAGACAGCAGGAAGTCAAAGACTTTCTTAGGGGCCCTAATGATAAGACAAAGAGAACTTTAATTCTGTGTCCTTGTCTAGGATCAGAATTGGAAAGGCTGGTTTGACATTATAGCCAGTGCTGAGGAGTCAAAGCTGCAGGTTCTGGGCACTCAACTCTTCCTCCTGGGATGTAGTTATCAGTCATAAGGCAGTTGTGTCTGAGGTATTTTGTGTTCTCTTTGCCAACTCTCTGCTGACCTTGGCCAAAAGTCTGACTACAATTTTCCTTCCTGAATAGTACATAAGATGCTGTACTTCTTCTTTTTTTTTTTTTTAAGTATCTTTTTTTTTAAGATTTATTTATTCATTATGTATACAGTGTTCTGCATATATGCTTGCAGGCCAGAAGAGGGCACCAGATCTCATTACAGATGGTTGTGAGCCACCATGTGGTTGCTGGGAATTGAACTCAGGACCCCTGGAAGAACAGTCAGTGCTTTCAACCACTGAGCCGCCATCTCTCCAGCCCCCGATGCTGTACTTCTTAATAAGCTTGCTTGGCTATAAGAATAGCTCTAAGACTGGATGAGATATAAATCTTGTTGGCTACAGAGTCTTTGAGACTTATTACAAGCCATTCTTTCATATGGCATGGACAGAGATTTCTACTAGTTTGGTTATGCAGTCAAAGTGAATTTATAAGGTTGACATATTTCTTTTACCCGCTCAAACATAGAACAGAGAATCATCTTTAGAAGACTTGTGCACATCACACATTTCATACTTGTGTTAATGCAGATATGTATGTTACCTTTAAAAGTTTGTGTTTTCAGAAAATAAAAAAAAAGGGCCAGACATCAAGGAGGACAAGTAGCCCAGGTGATCCAGTCTCTCAGAAGGCCTCTGTTGCTGTTTCCTCAAAAGTCTGCATTCAGAACAACTTCAAAGCTGCTAGCTAAGATGGTCCAGCCTCATAGACTACTCTGGGACTTCAGATAAGCCCTGCACTTTCCCATCACACAGAGACTGGACAACAGCTAGCTCTCCTAAGACTTGACCATTATCTCAATTTTCTCAGGGCTACCTAAAGATGCCATCACCCCGAGACAGTAGGAAGTAATTTTAAGAGCACAATGCCCACATGCCCAAGAGGTGTGGTGAGTGGGTTTTTTGGTCATTCAATGGATTATGGATGTTTATCATTATTTAGGGGGGTTGTTTGCAAGTTGTTATTGGTCATGTTCATGGAGGAAACTAAGCAAAAAGTTAGATCCAGGGATCTTAAGATAAAAAAGAGGGAATACAGGAATAATAGGGGAAAAAAGGGTAGATTATTGAATCTACTTTTAAACTAAAAAGCAACTATTAATCTCAAATATTTCACACTGGTATGGGTTTTTGTATATTGATACAAATTTAAGATTATTTTTGTTCCAATATACTGTATATATGTTTCTACTCTTAAGGTATTGTATCTATGCAGCTCATTTAAAAATGTAATGTAAAGTTCTAGTCCTTGAAAGCTATTATTACAAACTATTTAGGATAATTAAGAAATGCAGGTTAGTAGTCAGTCATCTATAA